GGCTCAAGCTTGTGTTGGTCACCGCGGCGGGCAGACCTTGCTGTGGGCTGGGTGGCCTCCTGCCGAGACTTCGTCCCCCCAGCGGGCCAGTCTGGCACTTCCACCATCCAACGACGTGAGGTGGGGATGGTGTCACCTGCCTGTCTCATGGAGGAGTCGCGATGCTTAACTACAATAAGGTAGCAACTCGCTGCTGTCCTGTCAATAGGTGTGTAGCAGCACAGCTGGATTGATGGAGCACAGCTGGTAACTGAAGCAGCTGTGGCCCATGCCAGGCTGGACCAGCAATGTCAGATCCTGGCCCTGCAGGTGAAAGGGGACGGTTCGGTGCTGAAAGAAGACAAAAAACCAGCAGAGCAGAGAAGCTGTGCTGTTAGACATGCTGCTGTGTGTGCTTCTCTTTCTAGAAAGTGATGGATTTGTCTGACTACAGCAGCAGACCGATGTGGGCTGTAAGAGTAGCGAACTGTAGGTAGGAAAGTTGCCTGGCGTTTCGCTGCAGCACTGAACACCGACTGCTGGTGTCCTGGTTCGCTGCAGATCCAGTGTCATCCTGGTTTGAAATACTGTGGTTAGTGGCCAGCCCATTGTGTTCTCTGTCGCAGGTAGAAGTCCTGTCCCTTCACTGCTCTTAACTCACAGAGCCAAGCTTCAAAACTTTTAAATTGCTTTGCCAGTTCTGCACAGCAGTTTGGATTGTCTGATACGTCAGATGAATTTTCCCCCAGTCATTGACGTGTACCTGGTAAGCTCATCAGCAACCTAGGGGTGATCTTTATCTTTAGAGACAGAGGGAAGTAGCTTGCAAATTATACCATTGTAGTGCCAAACTCTGCCTTTTTTTTAAATGCTTTTCAAAAATAACTAACGAAGATTGGTGTCTTTGTGCTTCTGTGCCATAGGCTAAATTCATCCTTAAGTAAGACTTTTGGTTACAGTGAATGGTGTATGTATACCTTGGAAGTAAAATCTTATGTTTGGACAATACTAGAATGGCTCAAAAACTTGCAGAATTTGTTTCATAATCCACAGGAGGCAGTTCTTGGCTTTTAAGGCTGGTGAATCAGGGTGGCCTTGCAGAGTATATTTCAACTGAGCTTTAAGAGGAGGCAAATGACTAAAGCATGATTATGTGTTGGGAAGGGTGCACATGCTTCATTCCAGAAGTCTTTACACACCAGAAATTACGCTTTGGGAAGGTAATTTGGGAGGGAAAATTAAAAAAAAAAAATCTGCTTTCCACACTTGCTCTTTTGACATGTAACAAAACATGTTTCTGCTCTGGTGTCATCCCTGACATACCATCACCAAAGGCAACTAATGCAGGTGTGAAGCTTGGAGAGCTGGAGGCACAAAGAGACCAGGAGCTGTGACCCAGGCTGCAGCCATTTACCGTGGCTGTAGAGGTGGAGGGGAGGGCGTCTGATCCTCAAAAGAGCTCAGGAAGGAAGCGCTGCCAGACTTCAGTGTGTGAAGGAACAGTTCTTTGCACATCACCTTCAGTGGGTTTTCACATCGCAGGGTGGTCGCACAGCCAGTGGGCTCCGTCCAGCAAGTAGCTTGCTGACGGGAACAGCAGTGGGCAATTGGTCTGGCGACAGCTAGGTGCTACCCTTGGGGCCCAGGGCTTATCTTGAGACCACGCTGCCTCTTGCTGCAGAGATAGACCAGGTGTTTGGAGCCAGCATGGCTATTGCTGCTATGACACATGATGGGAATGCTCTCTGTGGGGGCAGCACCTGAGGCAGAAACAAATCAGCCAGAGGAATTGATTTGTCTACAGTGTATGTCCTCTCCCAGTGCACTGTAGCATCAGCCTCAGTGAGGAGGACACTAGGAGAGCACAGCCGAGAGTGACATGATTTTGCTTCCCGTTTTCAAAGCGATGGCCTTTGTACATAACTGCAGCAGATGGCTCTGACTGCTCACACACAACCTCATCTCCTGCATCTCCACCTCTTTTCTTCTTTAGGACGCTCTTGTAACAAGAGTCAGGAACCCTGAGCTCCAGGTCTGCTGCACAACTGGTAGCTGGAAGAAATCATGCAAGGAGGCACAGACCATGGAGAAAAAGCTAGAGAGAGATCGTGGCTAGGGTTGCTCATTTGCGCTGGCTGCCAGGTGTGCATCATGGCCTGGGGGGGGTGGCATGTGCACCCCACACGCAAGGGGAGACCGCTGTGTTGTGCAGAGCCAGCCAAGCTGTTGTGTCTTCAGATGTGCTAAGGGGAGCGTGCCCACAAATAAATGAGCCTGGGGCCAAAATACCTTTTAAGATATTGTGCAAGGTCCTCAACTGAGATAGAGCTCTGGGTCCTGCTGATGCCAGTCTAGACTTGCATGCTGCTGGGCTGTGGCAGCGAAGATGCATTTGTCTGCTGGTCCTGCTCCAGCTGGTGAGGAATGCTCACTCTGGTTGGAAGTCACCTTGGAGGGAAGCTTTCACTGCTTACTCTGCTAGGGGAGCAGGAGCATCCTGCTTAAAAATTATTATTCTTGATACTACTCTGATTAAGAGCTGTTTTTTCTGCATAAAGCCATGTGCGCTGAGAGCCTGCAGTTGGAAAGCACTGTTAATAAATGGTGCATTTGTTTCCTGGATATGTGATGCTTAATTCCCTTCTTGTTCAGTCATGACTGGTCCTATCTTAATAAATGTTTGTTCTGAGACTGTCTTATTAGTGATTTTTGTCCTGTGGGATTTTTTTCTGGTTTGTTTCTTTGGTGGGTTTTTTTCACTATTGATCAAGCAGGTTTTTAGCGTGAACGTGTGGGAGAGAGCCTTTGCCCTAAGGACTTCTCTGCCCGGGAGGCATCATGATTGCAGAGTGCAGGAGATGAGCCTGGAGACATGCAGTCATTCTGGCATTTACATAACGCTCTTTGCTCAGAGGGACTCTTTTTTTTCTCCTAAAGTTAGGACTAAACTTAATATAGGGCTTCACACTACCTGGAGGAAAACAGGGGATGGGAAATATAAAGACATTAATTGGCTGAGAATAGGTCTTTCTTGGGGGGCAGTCATAGATTGTATTAGCTCTCATCCCTAAAACATCTCCTCCGCACCTGACTTTTACTTGGCCTAGCGCAGTCCTATGTGTGGGAGGGAGGTGAAGCTCCCTGTTTGGGACAGATTTTTTTGCCCAGAAGTGTTCTTAACAATCCCCATCCTTTCCCTTTTGTCCTCTGATATATTTGCATCTTTAAACGGAGATAGCTCGGCTGGGGAAGAGTATGTTGTTTTGGCTGCATCAAGCAGGTTGGGCCCTCAGTCCCATCCCCGCTAGGTGAGAAGCAGGCAGCCACGCTCTTGGGGACAGCCCTTGCTGACCCTTTGGGTAGATGTTGGATGTCACTGATGGGGAGTATGAAGCTCACTTACAAAAACTGGGCAAAGAACCTAAAAGGTATGATCTAGAAAGGTGTTCACCAATAACAAATACTGAACAGGGCTGGAGAATTGGGCAGTTATCATTTGAGTTTCTGAAGAGGGGCCAAACCACACTGATTCAGATGAATATAAAAACCTGATGTAAATCACGTTGCTTAGAGACTCTACGCTATGAGTAATGGTAGCAGTAGTAGGTCTAAGCATAGTTTTAAAGGTTTATTATTAGAAAGTGTGTTCCATAATCCTCAAACTGCTGCTGAAAACAAGAAAGCCAGATCACAATTTGAACTATTTCAGCCTTTGCTTCTTAAATAGAGGATGTATTATTTCTGCATTAATGAATAAACATTAGCAACCATCTAAGTCAGAAGTAACTCTTACGGTAGGGAGATCAATTTGTTCTCTTTGTTTGTACCAAATATTGTTGCTTTCATTGTAATTTTCCGTACTACTTAAATACATCATAAATTGAGATTTTATTATGCAGGAGGCTTGTAAACGTGCACATCTGTATACTACATAGACAGTTACAGAAATATGGCACTTGTATAAAAACTAAGCCAATTTAAATGAATTATAGAAACGATTTCTAAACATCTGTAATCAATGAAGTAAGGGAGGGAATTATAAGCTTAGGTATGCTTAGAAGGATCTTAGTAACATGTATGTCAGTCACACGTTTTGGGAAAAGCCATTTTGGTCCTTCTGACCAAAAAGCTGTGCTGATTTATGCCAACTAGAGCCCAGGCATAGAGTTATGTGCCACGATTTATTTTTTCAGACTGAACTTGCGCATTTTTCCTGTGACATTGACATTCTTTGCTGTAGCTGTTGCCACGAAAGGTTGGGCTTAGATATGGGGAACTGAAATTGAGAGGCTAGAAGGTGTGGGCTTCTCTGACACTCTTCCCAGTCCCAATGTGGCTGCATTGAGCAGTCAGTGCCGGTCACTGCTGCAGGCAGTGCTGTAGATAAAAGGCTTCATTAACTGAACTATATCACTCAAGTTGCACACATCTGTTGTTCAAAGTGTGCTTTGTGCATTAAGATTATGGGACCAGTTCAGAAGCCTGTACTTGCACATGATTCCTCTGAACAGACAGAGATGCATTTCTTCTGTTCTCTTTTCCTGTTCAAGTATCTATATCCAAAATACACTGAGTGCAATGGAAGAGCCAAAGTTATCTTTCTCTGTGGCTAACTGCATAATACTAAGGAAATAATAACTCCAGTGAAATTAGACTCTTTGAAAAAGATGGCATCTGGAGCCCGTCTTCTGCTAGCATGTGGAAACGCTTGAGCAGCGGAAAGATAATTAGTTCTGTAACTCCCTTCCCTCCTGGAGCCCTAAGTGCTGTTATATTAGCACTTGATTTTCCTACTGCCCTTTGTGTCACACAACGCCCAGTAGATTTGTCATTACAATGGAGATGTAGGTTTTGCTTGCTGCGGCATGCCCGAAGTGAAGGTGATGGTTATTGCTTCTTCTAGCCTGCTTGTGCTCTTCCTATATCAATTTTTTATACTGCCATAATGTAAATAGCATTTAAGCTAATGACAGGCTTCTGTATGACAAGTGTCTCAGTCTGGAGCATTCCTCCATGCAAAGCTGAATCCAGGTGACATGGAGCAGAAAAGTGTATCTAGGAGAAGATTGCACACCAGCAGAGCTGAAAGGTGGTAAGTGGGCTGGGCGAGAGAGCTTTCCTGGAAGACTTCAAGCATGCGAGGGTGGGAGGGATTTCGGGTACCTGCAGAGAGCCCAGGGACTCACACCAGAGCCTCTCACCCAGAATTGCACAGGGCGCAGTTCCTCTCTGGGTAAGTGCAACGTGTGTCTCTTCTTGCATTAATTTAATGTTGCAGGCTGACTGGTGTTGCAAATCTGACTGTTAATGAGGACAGTGGCTGTTTTGATTTACCTTGCTGTGAGCTTATAGAAATGCCGTGTTTCTACCAGCAGGCTACACTTTCTCTCAAAAGCCTAATTTCTGTAATTACTGTAAAACATATACTTTCCAAGACTGAGGGAAGATGAGACAAACTATGTTACTGAATTTGCCTTAGGACTTTTGTCAAGTTTAAATAGTGAGATTTCATTTTTTGCCCCTCACCAGACACCAGCTTTGGAGGCAGATATGGCACCAGTTGGCATCAGGCATTAGATTTCTGATTATGTATCAAAAGCAATGCATTTCTGCTAGTGGCACGTAGCCTCTGATTGGATCATTGCTTCAGACTGAACGCAAGTTTGAAGTTAAGTGAACGGCACATTTTTCAGCACATAGTAGACACAGAGGGCAGATCCTTAGCTTTACATGGGTCATTTTGTCTCCCATGGCTTCAGCAGAACTGGGCTTGTGCTGGCTGAGAACCTGCGACTGTAGCTTGGCTGCAGGATCCCTGTTTGCATGTGTCTTTTGGTTTTGTTATGGCATAAATCAGAGCCAGCCAGTATATTTTGGATAGCAGTGCTCACTTGTGCTCCGTCGCAAGAGAAACTAAGAGAGTTTCTTGCCTTTTCCCTGCAACCCTGATATAAAAGGAGCATGATGACAAGTCTATCACTTAATTGATGTTTGTGAAGTTTTCACTTGGCTAGTGTCCCATGCATCTGTAGACCTGCACCCTCAATATAAAGAGCATAACCCTGGTAAGCAGCTGCATGCTCATCTGTGAGCATGGTCCACATTTGTATATGCAGCCCGATTACGGCAGGGGTTTTGCAAGTGAAAGCCTTGATATATTAGTGTGAATCTTGGGAGCGCATGGGTTAGTGTTTGCATTTGACCACCTCACACCTGTTGAGATTGGCTGGGAAAGTCCAATTTATCTTCATGTAATTTGTGTCTGATACTGCCTTGCCCAGGTCACAACATCTTGGTACAAGAGTAGATATTGGATATAAAATCTGTGACTCCGCTGTTGTACTTTGACTGTAGCTGTTTCTTAGAGCATATTGGTCCCATGGCAATATGAGGAGGGCTGCTGCTTTTTTACAAGGTACCAGAGTGGCACCTCTCTAAATACACATCTTTATTGGGGTACATTGCTATTTTTCGTTCTAATTTTCTTTAACATCTGTGTTTCACAAGCTTTCAGCCTGCAGGGCTGATGCAGCTAGAGCATTTCATTCAGCTTTCCATTAGGCACAAGACAAGCTGAGCTGTCCCTCCTGGGTTTCCCAGCACAGCCCTACATAAACATTGTGGTGGGTTGTGGGGCACAAATAAAGCTGGAGATGAGGGAGTGAAGGCAGAAGGTGGATTTCAGCTCTGGGGACGAATTACTCTGCGTACCCACAGCTTGTGGGGCAGATGTCAGTGTGTGGCACTTGTCTGCAGCAACGAGCCGTGCAAGGGGGTGCTGCTTTCTGCTGTGGTCCTGTGCCTTACAGCCAGCACGTTGGGCTTACCCAGCCCCTCCAAGCTAATGCTTACAGCAGTGTAAAACCTAACACTGCTTTTTCCTGGGTAACAGGGATCCGCATTCTCTTTCACAGAAGAGTGATATAAATAATGACAAGTCTCCTGAGAACATGTGTTTGTACCCTGAAAACCATCCTCAGGATGAGTTGCGGGAACTTTTCCATAAGCAGTAGAAATTTTTTATCTAGATTTTAATGTGACAAGCCAAATAACTGCCCCTTTCCATCCTGAGAGGGATTGCCTGGGACAGCCACCGACTTTGCATTTCAAGGTGCTGACTGGCTGGCTCCTGAAGTTCTCTGTGGCTTCACAGCATCTCCCTGCAGTCCCTGGCAGCCCTGGGGACATAGCCCCCCCGACCTCCCTCACTGAGGAAGGGAGCGTGCCCTTGTGGTGGCAGCACTGCAGCTCTGATGAACAAAATGAAAAGACAGACCCATTATGGTTCAGCTTTTTAAACATCTGCAAGGGTTTTTTTTGTGGGTATTACAGTAAAGGAAATGTTCGGAGAGGCTTGCTTTCTGCTACACAAAAAGGAAGATCTGGAAATCCAGGAGGGAAAAGCAATCTTTGCTCTGAAGTAGGATGCTGGCAGGCAAATGTTTGGGTTTTTTTTCCCTTTCATTTCTGAGAGCCAATGGACTACCCTGAAAGCATTAATGTGTGACAGCTCCTACGGCCCTGCAGAGACATTTGAATTTCTGACTGGTTTAGCATTGTTGGTCACTGGCAATGGTACATTGCCAACCATACTCAGAAGGCAATGTCCAAAACTGCTGACAGCTATAGGATTGCTATAGATGTGGAGTCAATCATTACTACCACAGGTTTAGAAAATATTTTAAAAATAGCCCTGCTTGTGGTCCTGTGCCATTCTGGTAGACAGGGCAGATAATGCTTGGTAATGTTAAAAAACCAAAACCAACCCAACCAAAACAAGCCCTAGCAGGCAGGCTGAGGCTTCAGGGTGAAATGTGTTTGTCCGTAATTTGATTTTTATGAGTTAACATCTGCTAAAAAAGGCTTTATCATCTTGAAGGCTTCCCTGTAGTCTCAGAAAGCCAAGGCCAGATACACCGGTGACTTAGGGAGGTATTGGCTGGTGTAGCAGTATCTCTCACTTTGCTTGGCCTGATAGCAGTAGGTCCTGCATAGAGGAAGAAGGTCCTAGAGACACTGTTGCATAGTTTGTTGACTGCAGTTAGCGAAGCTAACACGATCTCTTCTTCTGTTCAGTACAGGAGATAACTTTATGAATGCTGTAACTTCCTTAATTGCTGGAGGGAACACTGTGATCCGGTGTCTCAAGATAGCTTTGGGCAATGTCATGGTTTAAAAGACAAGAAGCAGGAGTGAGCACCTGGTGCAAAGCATGGCATGGGTGGTGCCCTGATGCAGAGGGGATTATTTCCTTGGCTTCAGAACCACCTGCCTCCACATTAGGCTATTATGGGACTGTTACCTCACATTTCTAAGGTCTTCTGCAAGGAATCTTTTGAGGACAATACTCCAGATTCCTACTTGTAACTTTCCCCCCCACTATTTTACATCCCAGGTGTTTGCAGATGCATTTTTGTTAAACCTGTGAGTATAGCAGCAGAGAACTGCAATGTCCAAAAGCTCCCAGGTCACATTGACTGCTGACCCAAACTGGCCTTGTCAGCAGCCCTGTGAGCATGGTGAGTGTGACTGCTTAGCACCCAGCATTTTTTAATCTCTCCATTAAGCAACTGAAGACAAGATGGGACTGCTGTTGCATTCATATTGCAGCTTTGCTAACACAGGCTTTGTTATTTCTATGTGAATGCCAGTTTGGCTCCTTCTGCCTTTGGGGAGCAGGAGGTGGGGCAGGGAAGAGAAGGCTGCCTGCCACCTTTGCCTGTTACTGCTCCTCTCCCTTCCTGACCACTGCACAAGGATTCACAGTTGTAGGTATCTTCTTGTCTTCTGGACAAGCTTGTCCAATGCTTCTCTCTTTTACTTTCCCAAGCTGTTTATTTAAATAACCTTTACATATTCTGTGTTCAGTGCAGTTTTCTCTTAACAACCTCTCCTAGACAATCCCCTTCAGAAATTTACTCCCATACAACAGATGATAGGGGCTTGGTGGTAGGTCACCGCATGGCTGAGGTAAAGTACTGGGTAGCACAGACTTCTCTTGAGCAGTGTCTGCAGCTAGGGACAGACAGCAGTCTGGGGATGAGCAAACATCAGGGGAGAGACCTTTGCGACAGCTGCGTCTGCACTCTCGCATCACTGGCACTCCGATGGCGCGATGAGCCTTGCTCACGTGCTCCCCAGCTGCCTTGGTACAAAACGTCCCCTTCTCGACGCTCGCCTGCTGCCGCTCAGCTGGGCAGCCGTGCCATGCCCCGCTGTACGCAGGCGTGCTGCTGCGCCACAGGGACTTGAGCCGTGGTTCCCCCTAGAGAGGCTGGTGGAGGAAAACGTTGCCCTGCTGCCAGGTGGCTGTGGAGAAATTGCTGCTCTGAATTTCCTCCCTTCTTTCTGCATCTGGGGGAAGACGCTCATCTGGAAGATTTTAACCTCAGTACTGATAGGTTTTCATCCCCCCCATGGTTAATCCAGAGATTAGTTTGGATGTTGATGTGACTGCAAGTCAGGCAGGATTTTGGCTTAGGAATGTAACTTTTTGCTGTGGTTCTCATTTCTGCATGCAGCTCTGTGTGGAGCAGCACAGACCTGCACAGGAACCCTTTTTAGATGCCAGTTTGATTAATCTTCACCCACTGCCTGCTCCCCTGTGCCTTTACCAAAGAGTGACTTTTCTGATGCCAAGAACTTGTGCAGTAATATATCTGAGTTCACCACCCAAGGACTGTGAGGGCCCATGCCAAATTTTTAATTGTATTTTTCTGGCAGATAGCCATAGCTTGGTCTGAAGAAAAAGAAGTATTTCTAGCTCTCAACTCTGTGTCAGTCCGTTGTGGAGCAAAGCTGGGAAGTGTGGCTGCAGCTTACTTTGCTTAACTGGGGGTGATGCCATTGAGACATGGGGAGGAAGAAAGTGCCCATGCTGCTGGGGTAGAGGGAGGGATGAAAGAAACCAACGAACCAGCCCTAGTTGGCAGAAAGAGTTGCAGAGAACCTGGGGGTGGAATGACTGCCTTGGACCCACTGCTCCTGCTGTATGTTGCTGAGCTGGGAGGATGGTCCTTTTGCAGGTGGGAAGCATTCAGGCTGAGACCTGTTACTTCTGGCTTGTGCTAAATGATGGAGGCTCTCCTGTCAGACAATAAACATGATTTTTTGACCACAAGGCCTGGCAAAACTCATTGCATGGCATAAACATGATAGAGATGGAGGATTATCAGAACATGCATTCTCCCAAAGGCAAATCCTCCACCATCTTCTCCTGGGTGATTTGTTAGCTGTTTTATAAGTCCATTTTAGATGAAGCCTCCCCATTTGAAGGGAGAGGAGTTTATCTGTCACACTGAATTTCCCTGTAGAATGTGGAACCTGTTCGGGAGCCATTTGCCTTGGATGCCTGGCCTGTGACACCTCCAACACAAACATAAACCTACTTATTAATTCCTTGCTTGCACAAATATGTTGTACCAATATAGTATTTCAGGCAGGTTGACCGGCTGGTTTGGTAGCTCTTCACCACCCTACATAACAAGCACTTTTTCTCAGAATTTTATTCAGGAACAACTTGGGGTATGTACAAGCCAATGCCTTCCTTGACAAAAGGCAATCGGTCATCCCCCAGGGGCATGCTTGCTCCTGCAGGAAAGCAGAGTTAGAGATGAAGTGCTTTGCACCAGTTAGGGCAGTCCTAATATTTCAGCAATATTTTCAATATTTCTAGCCAGCGCCAACAACCTGTGGAGCGAAAAGCGCTGACTGGCAAGCCCCTTTACGTCTCATTCATCTCTTCCTCTCTCACCTCTGCAAGCGACCCAGGAGGGATTGCAGAGTTGAGTGGAACAGAGTGGCCACTGGCACCTTTGCCAGGGCTGGTTGTTGTGACGGTCCCTGTGTCCACCCAGGACAGGGAAAATATAAATGGTGAATCTGGGTACTGAGCAGCTGAGTCCTCCCTATTACACACACATCTGCCCCCCTGCCTAAAAATTCCCTCTTTTATATCAGTTTCAGTGTGTGCACATTTAGATGGCTTGATGTTACATCATCTGAGCAAAGGTGGGAACATGCAAGTGAGCCCAGGAGCACGGTGGCTTTGCAGTCAGCTCATGCGGGTTCATGGCCAGGAATTGCCCAGCACTGCCGTGTTCCTCCTGGGTGCAGCAAAAGCTGATGGGTCATTGAATTCAGGGGAAAATCGCCTGTTTCTGGCTAGGATCTGTGCACACTCAGGCTTCTTGTTACGGTCTACTCATTTTGGTTAAGCACACAGATGGGTCTTCTGTAGGCTCAGCCTGATGAGGAATTGTGTTGGTGTCCATTGCTCTGTAGATGAGAGCCTGTTGCACGTACACCTACTTTGTCCTAACTGTGGTCTCTCCCCAGGCTGAAGCAGCTCTCCCTCTGTGACAGACTGCACAGAGGATCATCAGTGCCTTGCAAAGAGCCACATATTCTGGGGAATGAGAAACAAAAGCCATAGGCTTACAGTGGCAGCATAATACATGGCAACAAAGCCACATAAATATTTATGGGCACACAACTAGGGATAAGAGCTATTGTCACAGTAGGGCAGAATTAAGGCAGGATCCACTGTGCAGGATGCCAGAAGCCAGGAGAAACAGCTCAGCCGTGGATACACAAAATGGTACGCGGTCAGCCAAGGCCACCAGGAGGGATGGGTGGAGGACAACGGCCCAGCTTTTTTTGGCTGGTGCATGCAGTCATGGTTGAGTGTTGCTCAGTGGAATAACTATGGTATTATTTTTAAAGCAGTTTTCCTGAAAAGCAGCATTTTACAGCCCAATGGGTGTGAGCCGCATCCCCACAGCAGGTTGGCACACAGCTGGTATCTGGAAGAGGCTGAATACTCATTTTCTGTGCAGGCTGATTTAGGGGACTTGTGGACAGAAGAGCATGATTTGATACTCTACATTGATTCATGGGACCAGCGTGAGGCTTAGGAACAGTGAACTTTGTCCAGCTTTAGTATTTCAAAGCTACAAGCTTCTGACATTCTTCTATACCTCAGGAGCAAGATATCTCCCTCTATGTGGCAGCTGGATTTTCTTCACCCCACTTATGGTGTAGAGGCTGACAACTGGCTCCAAAATGTTAAAGAAAATCAGGGCAATGTCTTGCAAATGTAGCCACTCCTTCGTGGATGCAGCTTATTCTGAGGTAGAGGAGCTAGCTGTAAATTTTTTGGCTCGGTAACGGGCCTACAGCAGTCAGAACAGGCTGTCTGTACTGCTTCTCAGATTCCCCCTATTGGATATTGATTTATACAGACATGAATCATGAGTATCTCCTAATGCTGCATAGCAGAGAGGTTCAAGAAGAGATTCCAGTAGGGACTCCTGGGCTCTTGTTGAGTCACCATTTACTAATTTGTGAATGTAGCTTAGGAACTGTTGTATGAAGCTTTTGGTCATCTTTCTGTGCTACATCTTATAGTTTACACGTTGAGAGCTTTTTGTCAGTCCTTATTACCCCGAGGTCTGCCACGTCTCCTGTAACGGTGTTGCTTCATCGGTCAGCCGAACCTCTAAAGACGTCTTGCACCAATATCAAATCACAGCATGGCTGGAATACTTGTGGGGTAGTGTCATCTATCTCTATTGAACAACAACATCATCAAGGAAATGAGTAACATTTCAAACTGGAGCAGAATGAGAACAGACAGAACAAGAAGGGATACTGTAAACCTATGAATCCCTAGCAGGGAGGTGGATATCCAAGCCTCAAGCCTCCAGAGAGCTGCATGTGCCAATATCATGTTCTGTTTGAAAATCACAGAATGGTTGAGGTTGGAAGGGACCTTTGGAGATCACCTTGTCCAAAATCTCTTGGTGAGAGCCAGGACAACTTCCTCCTAGTCTGCCTACATCTTGGAGGGTTTCATTGGATTAGGTTGAATACAAGTAATTTAATAAATGATACTTCCTTTGTAATTCCACAAATACAGAGATAGTGGCTTTACAGCAATTTAAACTAATTTTAAAAGACTGTAAGTAACTTAGTAGTCATAGCAGTTGAGAAAACACCCCAAATTATGCTTAGTTTACAAATTCAAAACTTGGAAGTACTGCTTTGTCATTGTGTTCAAGATGTTTTCTGTACTGCATTTCAGCACAGAGTAAATTAGCAGTGGAAGAAGAAAAGAAGTGGAAAGAAAATGCAATAGAATTTGTAGCAAAATGCTTGAAGCCATGGCAATCACATAGATTAGCAGAAAGGGTCTTGTCACCTGTGTCAAGTGCTTTGTTTTCCAGCACCACGGCACAGCCCCATCTCACATTCCATCTCTGAGGCACAGGTGCAAAGGACATTGGTGGTTTGATGCAATTTATCCATGCAACCAAGAAATAATGTTCCCTTCCCTGAGGTACAGGCGAGTCCAGTCATGGATTATGTGCTTGGCTCTCCTGAAGCCACAGCCTCCACTCCCGCTGGTACGCAGTTTCCCAATACCGGCCTTGACTTGTCCTCCAGGTGGCAAGTTGCCTCATCACCTCTTCCTAAGCCTCAGCCTCATGTCTAAACAGACGGTAATCCTCCAGCTTCCGGTGCCTCGGTTTGTCTTGGGCGATTTCTCCCAAGTATTCACAGTGCCACACCATCCCAGCAGGATGCGCTGCCCAGCCCTCAGCTGCGCAGGTACCTTTGTCTCAGCAATGGGTGTGCCTCATGGGGCGCTCATTTTGATCAGAGCCATTACAGGGGCTCCACTGAGCTGCAGCATTCAGTAGTGGGCAAGGGCATGTTTGGAAACAGCTCATCTGAAGTACACT